GTATAGCGTAGTATTACTCATGAACACAGACACAGACATCATCAACAAAGTATTAGTAAGTTTGATTCAGCAAATTAAAAAGGGAAACACACCATGATCAAGTGTGGTTTATTACATGACTGCAAGGCCATTTAAGATTTGAAAATCAATGAGTGTAATTTATCCTATTAATAGTCAAACAAGAAAAACCCATGATCATATCAATTATACACAAAAGTATTTGACAAATTCAACATCATTCATGTTAAAACTCTCAGCATACTAGAAGTTGAAGGGAACTTCCTCAACATAATGAAAGGCACCTACACAAAACCTGTAGGATTATCTTAGGAGAGCTTTTCAGAACGAAGAGCAAGATTATTCAGAGCTAAGCATCTCAAGAAGAGATACATTGAAATTTGTACCAGCTTTATTAAAAACAGAAGGAAATCAGACTTCGTATTTTTAAAAAGTTTTCAAAGGCAAAGCATTTCTCTGAAAATATTACTCTTTCACTAAGCACTGCAAAGTACCTTACTTAAGTCTTGAGAAACTAATAGCCCTAAAAGCAAGTCATAGAAACGATATTTACTTGGGAGTATAAATTGGAATGACATTTCGGGAGGGCCATTTGAAAATACTTTGCAGAAGCCGAAAATGCATACCCACCAAGACAGCGGTTCTCAACCTGTGGGTCGCGAACAATGAAAATATATCCTGCATATCAGATATTTATATTACGATTTATAACAGTAGCAAAATTACAGTTATGAAGTAGCAACAAAAATAATTTTATGGTTGGGGGTCACCACAACATGAGGAATTGTATTAAAGGGTCGCGGCATTAGGAAGGTTGAGAACCAATGCACTAAGAATTTCAGTTTTAGAAATTTATCCTGAGGAAATTGGCAACGACAAAGATAGGAGGATGTTTATTACAATGTTGTGTACAATAAAAAAAGAAAAAAAAAACTGGAAAGAGCCTAAATATCCAACATGAAGTTGATCAAGAAAATTGTGGTTTATCATATTTTGGAATACTAGATGGCCATAAAAACAAAATATTAAAATTATATCATAAAATTATATATGGCAAGGAAAAGTATTCACTATATATTGCTGAGGGGAAAAGCAAGTTATAAAGTTGTAGTATTATATGATCACGTTTCTGCTTAAAATATGTCTCCACATAAAAATATCTGGAGGGGTATATACATGTATAAATTAATGGTATTTATTATTAAGTTTTAGATCACATGTGATTTTTATTTACTTTTTTTGGGAGGAGTCTGGCTTTCTATAGTAAACATATTTTCCCTATATAATAAAAATATTAAAATGTTTACTGGAGGCAACCATGCAATTGATTGTTAGTGCTTTTCTGACTCTTACAATACTGAATACTGTAGGTACTATGGGAAAGTGGTGAGGGCAGATAGATAAAGAGGAGGCAGACAGACCTCCCTTGTGCATTGTTTTTCATGTCCATTTGTTGTAAAGCTTTAGGTTACTCTTAGACTTAACTATCTGGAAAGAATTTTTAATGGAACATAGTAGTGAGTAGTTAAGACTCACAGGATCGCAATATCCTCTCATAGATTTAATTTTTCTCCTCTTCCTGGAATGCTGATTTTGTTGCGTAAGGAGCAGGTGGCTTTCTTTTTTATAAGTCTCTTGACTGCCTTGTCAGACACAGCTCTCTCAAAACTTTTTTGGGAGCTAACCAAGCTTTATCTAAACAAACCCAAAATGACATATGGACTTCATCCACATGGTCATATGAATCCTTTGGCTGATGACTCCAGCCATGTATCTAATCGGTTTTATAAAATCCATGCTTGGAGAAGGATTCTATATGAGAGTGCAATGCTGTGAGGAGAAGGAATGTAGTGGCAAACAGGCCCTTGCTGCTACCCTGGAATCTGGTGCCCATCACTGCCACCAAATATTGGCAATATATATCCCAACAAAGGGGAGAATCCTAATAATTTTGAGTGAAAAATTTCTATCATGCATTTCAGCTTAGATCTACTAATAACACTTCTTTAAAAGCCTTGCTAGACAGTGAAATCTGGGAATAATTATCAAACACCATATATAGTGTTTACAATAGAATCATATTTCTTTTCTTTCTCTCCCCTTCCTACTTTTTTTTTTTTGCATAAAAAATAGAATGCTGCTGAATGGTACCCAAATGTCTGTTGTATACTATGCCAATACAGCAGCCCAGCCAAAAATGCAAATAGAACAGTTTGCCAAGTAAAAGAAAACATAACAAATTGGTAATGGTTTCTATCTTGACAGAAAATGAAAATGATCCCTCAATGTGTGGTCACTCATGCGGACACATAAAAATGTCTCAGAAGCAATCATTTTACCTCAGATAACAGACCCTGACAGTGCTACAGCACTGGCTGAATTTCACTTCTGAGAAAAGCGGCAACCGTGACCTACAAAATACTCTGGGAGCTGTGTAATTTATGCATAACACACAGGCACATGCCATATACTCCTAATATTTGCTATAAATCATTGTGAATACAAGACTTCTTTTCTGAGTGCAATATATACTTTACGAGAGATGATCTAAATCACCAGAGACTTGATAAAGCCGAACTGGTTTATTTATGAAAAGAAATGATGTTGTTCCTTATCAGGCTACAAAATTTCAATAGTCTATATTTCAACAAGAGGGCATTATACAGGGGACCCAGGCATTATATATGATTCTGTATAGTGCCTTGAATACTAAAGGCATTTTATTAAATATTAGAAAAAGCAAATACCAGAAAAATGTGCAGGTACATAGTGCACAGTACTGATTTTCTGTTTAGGAGGCTGCAATTACAGGCAGAAATGAACCCCGGAAGACATGGTAATGGCTCCTTTAACATGTTTGCTTTCCCTTTGCCACTTATTTTTGCTCTCTGAGGACTGGCCAACATCATTGACCAGTGATTTCCCCCCTATCTAGTGAAGTTTCCCCATTTGTTTAATTTTCTAATAAGCATGTTAGAACAGTGGTTGTATTGTGAAAGTACATCAAAAACAATAATGACACTAATTGATATCTGAAGCTAATGAGGAATTCAAAATGAGAAAATACTGCACCAAAGGGGCGAGGGAGAACCTTGGGAAGTTAAATGGTCTTGCCAAGTTGAAAGTAAATTTGAATCCTGTGGGTTATGAGTTTCAAATGGAACTTCTGGGTTTAAATTTGTTGGTGACTTTCCTGTTCAATAAAAAAGGACTTAAATGGCTTATAAAAAGTTAAAAAAAACGTATTGGGCATCAAACTGCTCTTACAAAACACCCTCTTGATGAGTTAAGTGTAAATGAATCAGAAACACATGGATCATATTTCCTTTAAAAATGCATATGGATTCAAAAATAAGGGGAAGAAAACTTGGCAAAAACATTTTTTGTGTGTGTGGTGACTGAACCCAAAACATTTGAAAGATATTTTGAGACATTCATGGAATCCAAAATAGAACTAAACATGTCCAGTCATATAAAGAACAGAAAGTGCTATGCTATGCAATGTGCATTTATCTCTATGGGTTAATCAACACTCACTGAACCTTCACCTCTGGCATAGAATTATGGGAAAAGCCAGCTTCTGTCTTTAAGCAACTTAGAATTTAAGTATAAACAAATATGTAAGTAATACAAACCTATTAAGAGAGACCCAGGGCTTTAAAAAAATTTTGGCACAACTCAGATCATACAGAAACCATATATAGAGAAATACACAAGTACTTTCAGGGTCCTGGAGTAGCTAGGATTCATTGCATTCAAATCATCATCCCCTCAGCCCTTTTGATTCAAGTTATATATAGCTGCCGAGTCTTATTTGCTTAAATGTTTTCTTAATGAGTGTTTTTATGTCTTTTTTAACGTGTGTCCCAGCCTCTTTCCTCCACCCTCTAGATTTGTGAGTGCGCCACAAATCTTGCTGACTGGTTTCCTGGAGGATGGGAGTGCTGAACAGAGTTTTGAAATAGGGAGAGATGCTGTTTGGCAGAGAGGAGTGTGGCTACGATTCTGGGTTGGGGTAATGGCACATGTGACAGTTCAGAGGTTCCAGCGATGAATCATGTGTGGGGGTGACCTGCTGGCTTGCACGCAGCAATGTGCCTGAGCCAGGGTGCAGTGGGAGATGGAGGCAGTAGGTGTGGGGAGGCTAATATACTACATGTGAAGTCAACTGAAGGGCAGAGGAGTGTGATAAGGGAAAACACAATTCTTATTCTTTTTTTCTTTCTTTTTGCCAGTATAGGATAAAGTGCTAAGCACAGGACGCATACAAGTCATTAATTCCTTTATTTCTTATCAGTGTCTTAAACAGCTGAAAAATATCCAAAGATAAAAATAAGTTAACTATGCATGTATTCCTAGGATCCTGTAGGTAATAAATTTGAAGAGAAACTTGTAGGATTATGAAATGGATTAGTGATTTCTAAAATGTTTGTGGGAAAGTGTAAAAACATTAATGATTTAGAATCTTTTAAGGCTGTTTTTTTAGTTGTTTAACGTGAGTCTTATCAATAGTAGATAATGTAGGGCAGGGATAGTGTCCTATACATCTTGTGTATTTTGCACTGGTTAGCACAAAGCTGGGATCACAGTAGGCACTCAATAAATGCTTAGCAAAGTGAAATGAAGTAAAGGGTGATGAGCCCCTACAACAGTGGTTCTCAACCTTCTGGCCCTTTAAATACAGTTCCTCATGTTGTGACCCAACCATAAAATTATTTTCGTTGCTACTTCAGAACTGTAATGTTGCTACTGTTATGAATCGTAATGTAAATATCTGATATGCAGGATGGTCTTAGGCGACCCTTGTGAAAGGGTCGTTCGACCGCCAAAGGGGTCGTTACCCACAGGTTGAGAACCGCTGCCCTATAACAAGGAGGGTATGATTGAAGGCAAAGTTTGAAAACAAAGGGATGATGTAGTGGAAGTGTCTCTGCTCTGAGCCTCTTTGTTTCTGGTGAACAGAAAGAAATCAAAGCCCTTACCATCCTTCATCATCTTCTACTTCCATTTCAGAAACGTTGTCTTCAGGAGTTTCAGCAATTGCTTGCGTGAGTTTAGATTTAAACTGGTTTAGCAGCGCAAGGGTCTGAAATAAGAATACATTTTTTGATAAGGATAAATGTAACTTTAGAAAACACACTTATATTTGTTAGAAAAAATATCCTACCAGGATGGAAAACACTTAGATAAACTTCTACTTTTGAAGGAAAATAACAAAACTGCCTTCCTGCTGCAACAGTGATTGATATTCACAATCCCCAACATTACCCTATTTGCATCTGCACCAACATTTTACCTCAGAGATACATGATTATTTTCTTACTTGGGGAACATAAATTTGCTTATATAGAAGATACTTAAATTTTCACATGCATGCTTGTTACTAATAGTTAACTTTTTACTGTCCACAAAACAGGGAGGTACTTCATTAAGATATTTATAATAATAAAAGTGTAATATGCTAATTAGACCGGACAGCCGAACGTCCTTCTGGACGACCTTCGGACAAAGTTGGGGCTGCAAGGGCTGAGGCAAGCCCCTGTGGCTGCGAGGACTGAGCCCCTTGCACGAATTTCATGTATCAGGCCTCTAGTGTAAAATAAAAAACAAAACACTAACAAATAGTATTTTTTATTGAACAATTTCCTAAAAATGTAAAAAAAAAAAGTACCAATACTGGGGAAGGTGAAATAAATGGACACATTAACTTTGGGAAGTGGGTACACTGGAGTGATATCTTTAAAAACTATTTTTATGTACTAGAAACTTTAAGGTGATCATTCCCTTTGATTCAATAATTCCAATACTGGGAATACATGGAGAAAAATACTCTGAGACACAGAAAATGGCTTATGTGAAGGATGTGCATTCCAGCAACAGTCACCCAAGTGGGAAAATGGAAATGTTAAAAGTCTATCCATAAAGAACTAGATACATTTGGTAAAAAGCAATGACTATGTTATTAAATTCTATACATGAAGTATTTCATTCTATTGTTAAGTGAAAGAAGTAGGATATAAATATCATGTGTAGTATGTTTTTTTAAAAAAGGGATCATTCCTTTGATTATCGTTTGGCTCCCTTGCCCTTTGTGAATGAGCAGAAACAAGTGCTTACAATTTGATAATTCCATTGTCTCTGGGCTGTACTTTAACAGTCTACTCCAGAATTTGAGCAGAGAAAAGAAGTTGAAAAAGATTTTTATTCTACGGTTTAAAAAAATATAACTAGAAAACAGGATAAAGTATTATCCATATATAAAAATCAAGTATCTAATTAAAATATTGATACATGGAATTTAGTACCAAAATACATTTCATAAGGAGAAAGTTGTATGATAGTTCAATATGTGAATAACAGGTATAGAAAGGAGTCACAGTAAATTGCAAGGCTCCAGAGTTTATCTGCCAAATATCATCGACACCACAGTTCATGAAAAAATTAAGTTGGTTTTACTGGTCTAGAAACTAAGCTTAATGAAGACAGGTGGTGCCAAAATAAAAGCAAAAGCAGTATTGCTAAAAAATGATAGTGAAATGTGCTTTATATGTTTCACAAAATTTAATGCCCACATAGACAACAACTGAAAATATACACATCACCGTAACTGCTGAATGACATGATTTTGTGAGAAAAACTATAAAGTCCTGTAGAATACCCTATGGGCATTCTGAGGGCTGCCTGGTGGGTTAGGGTTTAAATATTTTATCTATCTCTAGAGTAGTAATTATAGGACTAAGCTCTTTTTAAAAAAATATATTTTTATTGATTTCAGAGAGGAAGGGAGAGGTGAGAGAGACAGAAACATAAATGATGAAAATCATTGATTGGTTGCCTCCTGCACACCCCCTACTGGGGATCAAGCCCGCAACCCAGGCATGTGCCCTTGGCAGAAATCGAACCTGGGACCCTTCAGTCCACAGGCTGACGCTGTATCTACTGAGCCAAACCAGCTAGGGCAGGACTAAGCTCTTCAAACGTTTAACAGATAAAGAAAGCATCCCTTGTTTTTAAACCTTATTCATTAAAATAAATCTACTTTTATTGTATTTTGTTTACTGTAAAAATATTAGAAAATAAAGAGTAACAAAACAAAAATATTATACAACTACTCAGAATAACCACTGCTGACATTTTGGTATATATTCTTCAAGGTTTTTTTAATGTGTTTTTTTGTGTGTATGTGCTTAAATACCTGTATCTATATTATATAAATATCTGTCTCTATCTATCTATCTATCTATCTATCTATCTATCTATCTATCTATCTATCATTTATCACTTAAAGGTAAATCCCATCAATTTGTAATGGTGGACTTTTGTATACTTGGAAAAGGCTTTTCTGAGGGCATAAAGAAACATGAAAACAAAGGATACTTCTTAGTGAAATGAAATTTTAAAACTCCCTAGCAAATTACACTAGACCTGGATCTTTTTCCTTGAGTCGAAAGTGGCAAGGCAGTCTGTTTTCAGAGCCAGTTAATGTGCTACTGGCATTTCCTCAAAGAAGGGGGGGCTATGACCAACAAAAAACATCCTCTTGGCCTGGCTTAGCTTCTCCTATTCAAGACTGGGCTTTCTCTAGCTGCATTCTAAAGGCAAGAGAAGACACTAGGCAGAAAAGCAAACATCACAAAAGTAATGGGCTACAGCATAGGGTAAAGAAGATAGGATCTGCATGGAGGTATTTCTGTTTGCCATCTACAGGGGAACCGGTCTGGCTTTTGCCAAAGGATGAATGGTCAACCACCTGCCGCACCGCTAGGGCCTTCTCAGCACGGAGAAGCTGCTCTGAAAGGACCCGCCTTGGGAAACTGTGTGTGCATATCTACATATAAGGTCTCTCAACTGGCCTCTGTCTCCAGTCCTGCCCCGGTTCAGTCCAGTCTCCTTACTGTGGCCGGGTTGAAGCGATCTTTCCAAATTGCAAATGAGATCATAATACTTCCTCCATTTGATGGCTGCCCACTGCCCTTAGGGTAAATCTAAACTCCTTATTAAGGCTCAAAAATACCTTCCTTGAATGAGCTGGCTTCTGCTTACCTCTCCAGTATCATCTCTCTCCTTCTCATTTATGTTCCAGTCATACTTAACATCTTTTCGTTCTTTGCAAAGAGATCAAAGACTTGTCTTATACTGTTCCTTTTGTCTAGCCACACATCTCCTATTCAAACTTCAAAGCTCAGCCTAGAAATCATTTCTCAGGAAGGCCTTCCCGCATTCTTAGGACATGTTCGGTCCTACTACTATACAGCTTAGGTACAGGTATAGTTCCCTGTACCTAAGCTGGCATAATGCTCCCCCTTTTTATTGGTATTATTGTACCTGTTTAACTGGCTCTTTTTCCTGATAGCTCAGAGAGGGCAGGGATGTGCCACCTTGTTTACCACCAAATACAGTGATTAGTACATGGTAAGTTCTTAATAATTATTTGTGAGGAAGGAAAAAAGAGGAATGCATGAATAAGAGTAATCCTTAGATCTTTGGTAGTATATTCATTGCAGTGTGACTCCAAGAAAGCAAGTTAATAATGTATTTTTTCTTAATTTTATTTGCTGTTCCATTTCTTTTGAAAACTGTATAAGTTAGTTATTTGCAATTATTATTTCCTATACTTTACTTCTTGTTCAACTTTCCCGATGACTATTTTCATGCTAAGTAATGATGCATGCTCCTTTGTTATCGGGAATTAGGTGTCATTTATAGCAGAGTTCCTGATAGATTTATTTATCCAAATAGTCTGGAGGTTTTTAATTTACTTTTATTTTGCCTATTTTATTTATACATCTAAAATGGCATATATATAATATATATATATATATCTACACTAATAAAAGAGAAACATGGTAATTAGCGTACGACCGCTACCCTTCCCATTGGCTAATCAACATATCCTTATGCAAATGAACTGTCAGCCAAGATGGCGGCCGGCAGCCAGGCAGCTGGAAGCGAACATGAGGCTTGCTTGCACCAGTGACTGCAGACTCCAACATTCCCCGCCTGACTTGCCGGCCTCTGAGTTGCAACTCTAAGCAACTATGTACTATGTTGCAAATGTAGTAGCTAAACAAAACCCCAGAAACCAGCTTTCAGCCTGCC